CTTTATTTATTTGGTTTTACTTGGGATGCATGGTGGCTCAGTAGCTTAAAAGATGCTGGAGAAATTCCGGTGGTTCGAGTCTTACCATTTTGCATGATGGACTGAGCTCCCATCATTTGCCTCAACCCCTGCCAGACTAGCAACTCGAAAGCATGTAAATGCAAGTAGATAAATAGGTACCACTTTGCTGGGAAGGTACCAACACTGAGTGTTTTGCCACTTGCTCTGTACTGCAACCTGATTTCATGCTAACCATATGTCCATGAAAGCATCTTTGGACAGTGCTACTTTAGAAGCAGAGATGAACGCCACTCTCTAAAATTGACTACGACTAGCAGAGTAAAATCCTCAGGGATTCCTTTACCTTAGTGAGTTAGGATGGAATTATATACAGTGGTGTTTATAACAAGTCATTTGGACACCACTATAGCATATAAGCTGTATCATTGTTAAGCAAATGATGCAACTTATTAGGTTTTGTAAAAAGCAAAAACATTGGACAAAGAAGAGAGTTTGCAATGTCTGCAAATATAGGACATCTCGAAGTCCATGCAATGACTGAAAGCGGTGATAAAATCTAGCATTTTCTTTTTAATTGGGGACCTAAAACGTTTGGTTAACCTCTGTATAATGATTATGTCCTGAATCATGCCTCAAATTTTCTCTTTGGACTTCTTTATAGGTACATGGTTTATACCGCACAACTGGAGCAAGTTTTGAGAAGGCCCAGCAAGAATTTGCAACAGGTGTGATGTCCAACAAAACTGTACAAACTGCTGCAGCAAATGCTGCCTCAACAGCAGCAACCAGTGCTGCTCAAAATGCTTTCAAGGGTAATCAAATGTAGACAAGAGAGATGAAACACGTTACAAATTTCTGGCTGTACTTTATTTTTCAATTCCTAAAGACTTATGTTAAAAATGCACACAGCATGTATGTCTTTTCAGCTGTGCATGGGCTAAGACAGAAAAAAAGATCATTTCATTCCTTTTAGAATTTTTTAATGAGAAGTTCTTCCTAGCTACACTACTAGCTTACAATAGTTACTTTTTTTCTCCATATTTTTTTGAGGTACGTGATATTTGATGAAAATTAGAACAGTAGCTTTAAAAATTCATACAGCAAGTTTAGCTTCTGAGATGAGCAAACAATATTGGTTTTCCATGGGGTGTCGCTCTCGGTGGAACTGTTCCTCCTGACTTGAGACAAGCACTTTGAATTAACCCTGTTCATAACACTTTGCTTCCCTATTTTCGGAAGAAACAAAATAAGCTAACAATTTTGAACATTTAATTTTGGCTGCTGCTTTGTAACTCCAGCAGCTGATGAAGGACAGAAGTAAGCTTAAAATAAGTATGATAGATAATGTAAATTCTTTTTTTAGGAGAATAGATTTTTTTAATAATCTGAGTCTGCATGAAATAATTTTGACTATGCTGCACTAGTGTTCTGGTCCAGAAATTGTCTATCAGTCCGGTTATAGTATTTGTTAAGATCTGTTTTCATGGTGTATATAGTGTTCTAATTAGATATCTTGGAGCACAGATGTCTTTATCCAAGTAATGCAACATGAAGTGAAAAGAATTATGGTTTAACTGAGGCACAGTTGTTATATTTGTTCTTTTTGATTTCACCATTCATGACTAGGAAGCACATATTTCTAAACAGAATCTGTTTGGCAATATTTAAAACACTTAATAGCTACTCCATTCTGACTTGTGTTAAATTGTAGTGGAATTTATTTTGTGCTTCAGAACTCTGACATTTTTAGAGTGTGCGTTTGTGTTTAATGCTATTATATCTTTAGTCTTGTCAGTCACTCTGTTTAGTATTTGTATAAACATCTGAATATCAATAACTTATTTAAATTTTTAACATTACTGTAGATCCTAATCAGGTTTCTAAACTGATAATTATGTACTTGAATTCTTTTAACATACTTCAGCCTTCATATGAGATTTAATCTGAATAAGTGCATTTTATTAAATGCAAATTGAAGATTCACTTTATGGTAATTAGTTTAGTATGGTGCTATATGGCAGCTTTTTGTTATTTTAATTCTTCGTATTATTCTAAGACTTAATTGCCTCTTCGGGTCACTTTTCCCTTTGGAGTTTCTAAATTCTAGGTGTTAATGTATAATAATTTGAAAGATACTATGAATTAATAATTTGAATGGTATTCCATTTCTGTCATTAAGAGTTTTTTACTCTTCTGTTTGGTTACATATTACACTGGCAAATTTGATTGTCCTGAATTCTGACATAAAATTTATTTTTTTTAAAAATGAATAATTCATGTTCTAAATTTTTCCACATGAAATGTAACCATGTCTTGTTTAACATGTTCAGTAGACTCTAGAATCCCAGATTGTAATGTTTGGAGAGGATCTTAGACTGCATTTGATCTAGTCTTTCTCAGCCTTGGCAATTTTAAGATGTGTGGACTTTGCGACTGGCTGGGAATTCTGTAGCATTCTAACAAATGGCTATCCTAGCTTTGAATGTACAGGGGAGAGTCCACCCTTTCCCAAGGCAGTCTTCTTCCATTGTTGAATAGCTTTTGCTATTTTCCTTGATGCCTGACTGAACATTGCTTCTTTGTAATCTATATCCATTATTTATTTTATCTTTTGGAACAACTCTGATCAATCCTGGCTTGTTTTCTACATGACAGCCCTTCAGATATTTGAACACAAATATCATGTCTTTTCTCCTCCAGCCCTTAACCTTGTGGTCTACCAAAATACCCACAGTATATACTCACATGTAAGCCCACCCACAAATAACCTGACCTTGGAATTTTTAACCAAAATATCAACAAAATGTGCTAAGCTCACCCACATTTTTCATGAAGTTTTGGTCAAAAAATCCCAAGGTTAGCGTAGGCATGGATGGCTTATGTATGAGAGTATATGGGGATATATAGATACTCACAGATTAGCTCATCCATGGATAAGCCAAAATCAATTTTGAGGTGTATATTGGTACCTAACATTCTTGGCTTCTCCACAAGTACATGTGGTAGTTTTCACATATACTGCCCATTACTGCATCCCCATTCTTACCTTTCATATTTTTCCTAAACAATCATAGGATTTTGTCTATTACTGAGATTAATGGCTTTACTCATTGCTGTAGCCTCGTCAAGGTCCTGCTGAATCTGGGTACTGTTTCCCAAGATGTGCCCTCTACCACTCAATGTTTGCACAAGTTATCATTGTAGTTTTATGTTATCATCTAGCCCTTTATCTAAGTCATCTATAAATATGTTGAACAGCACAGGACCCAGAAAAGGACTAGGGACTTCCACTCAGCACTTTCAGTTTGACACAGACATTGGGTATATTTGTTCAGTGACCTTTCTATCTATCTATAGGTAGCATAGGTGATTTTTGCTTTCTGTACTAGAATTTCATGGGGACACTTTCTTGAAAGCTTTGCTAAAGGCATGATGTGTTGTGTGCAAGTAAATTAATCATTAATGGAAAGAGGCACTGGGTTAGGTTGGCATTATTTATTATTAATAAATCATGCTGATCCCTGCCCAGCAATGTACCTTTCCTAAATGCTCACTAAATGTTCATTAAACCCATTGCTTAATTATTCTAGAATGTCCCCAGTATGGACATCAAATTGACCATACTTTTTGGGGNATTGCTAAGCAACTACTTCTAATTTGAGGGGTGTCTGTATTTGCTGAATCAGTAGTGTACTTGGAAGGGATCCCAAGCTCCTTACAACAATGGTAGACTTGAAATAATACATGAAGTTGATACCATGCAGTTACCAGAAGGGGTAATAGGGAAGAGCTGTTCAAGACATAAGAAAACCTGTGCACGACTACTGAGAATCCAAGCTGGTGTACCCCTGAATTATATTTCTTCTAAAATGTTCTTTTCATGCACTTCTGTAAAATGAAGTAATACTCTACTTTCCTTGGAATGTTAGCTGGGCAAGAAAATGCATTGCTGACTTAAATTACAAGGTTTGTCTTTGCTTCAGTAAGAAAATGAGAGATGGAAAAATTGCTAGTGGACATCTTAATGAATAAAATGGCAATATAGTGTGAAACATAGTTTCCAGTACTTCTTTTGCAATATTGTTAAGCTTATTTTGTAGTTGCTTTATTTGCTTTTAACTACTGTGTTTTGCATCTGTTGTTTAACTTTCTGGTAGTGTTTATTGTAATTGGTCAGTTTTGTAAGAATGCTTCTGAAAGTTCTGATTTCCAGCGGTTTTATACAGTCATAAAAGAGAATTTATATACAAGAGATGTTTGAAGTGTTTTCACTCGCTTGTTCTGTTAACCTTATGACAGACTCGCTATTTTGTTTGTCAAGTATTAAGAGAATATCTCATTTTTTCCCCTTTCTTTCTCTTTCAGGAGCGATAGCTCATTCAGGTTCTTTGTTTTCTTCTTTGTATACATTTGTCAATTTGCTGTGCATGTCCTTCAAGCTGTAGGATTCCAAGGTTGGGGGAACTGGTAAGTGTCCTGTTGTATTATTCTCTGGTAATTATCTGGTAGCAACAGCAATAGCACTTAGGCTTGTATAGTGCTTCACAGTGTTTTACAGCCCTCTCTAAGCAGTTTACAGAGTCGGCATATTGCCCCCAACAATCTGGGTCCTCATTTTACCAACCTTGGAAGGAGGAAAGACTGAGTCAGCCTTGAGCTGGTGAGATTTGAACTTCCAAAGTGCTAGCAGTCAGCAGAATTAGCTGCAGTACTAAATTATAATCCTTGCACCACCATATCTTATGTGGTGAGAGCAATAGCTTGTAATTTTTTGCAAAAGTATTAAGATCCATTTCTTTTTAAATCTTTTACAAAGTTAAACATTGGGTGTTTGCAATAATAAGATATTATCAAAATCAGTAGGCAAGTGGTGTCAGGAAT